TATTAATTCTTCGTATTTTTTCATACGGGTACCATTCGGTCCCATTTTCAGCATTGGAAAATCTTTTAATGATAACTTCCTTGTTCAGTTCATGTGAAGAAACAAGAATAGCATGGTTTATGTTTATTTCCGGAACAGATGGAGCATTTTCAAATCTCCTATTTAGTTTTCTCCTCATTTTATCATGATCTGCTTTGCTAAAGTAGAAGATGCTTATGGTTTGAAAGCAGATCATGATAAAATGAGGAGAAAACTAAATAAGAGATTTGAAAATGCTCCATCTGTTCCGGAAATAAACATAAACCATGCTATTTTTGTTTCTTCACATGAACCGAACAAGCAAGTTATCATTAAAAGATTTTCCAATGCTGAAAATGGGACCGAATGGTACCCGTATGAAAAAATACGAAGAATTAATACATAGTATTTTATCCTAATTAAATCATTAAAAAAAAGCTCTCTAAACGTTATTTTTGCATTTTTCAATTATTTTGGTAAGTCTGAGCATTATTTTTAACGTATGGTCCCACCCGTAAGAAGGAAATAAAAAACACCATACGGTATCAAAAAATTGAGGTTTAGGCGGAAATTTTGACGCTTCGAAAAAAATTTTATAAATAAAATCTTTAAAAATAAAATGCGCAGGGGGGTGGCTGATTTGAGAAAGAATGCCCCATATATTTAAATATTTTTTTACATATCTATATAAATTATTAATTTACACAGGATACATATAAGGATGGATATATTTGTTGTATGGAATATTTAAAAATTGGCAAATCTTATACTTCTGCAAAAATATATTTTATTATACATATTTTATAAAAAATTAATAAAGTGAGGTTATATATTTAATTTCCAGAATTCTTTTACTATACTATACATATTTCCATTATTGATATACATTTTAGAATAAAATATACAATAATTATTACAATAATAGTTAACGTATGTATCTCTTTGTCTTTATGCACTCTGCTTTTATTAAGTTCATACGCAAATTCGCAAAATTGTTCCTCTCTCACGATCCGTTCAACTCAATCCGATTGGCGATTACCTCCTGAGACAGGTACCAAAATCCGATTAAGCTAGGGAGTTTTTTAAAATGCACCAACTGAGTACCACTGTTCGATCGGATTGGAAATCCGACCATTTGTCGTAAACACCCTAGACTCTAGTCGCACCGTCCCGCAGTGGGACCCCCCCCCCGCATCGTTATGCTCTGTCCCTAATTTCTATATCCATGGTGGCAACTCGACCGCACCCCTTGGTATTCTTTCCACCATGGCATCGACCACGTGGTAATTTGTGGTGATCGATGTCTTATGGTTGTAGAAGTTTCTCTCGCGGCATTAAATTTTGATGAAATTGTTTGTTAAAATATCGAAGTAATTTTACAAAATCATTTTTAATGATTCTCTGTTATAGTATAATAATCAATATCTAGACGTATATCAAAACGTATATTATAGGAAATTTAATTATATTTTTTTAGCTACACACATTGAGATTACAAGTCTGGAATTATTTAAATGGTAAATGTGGCAAAGGGGAATTTATATATTTTTATGTAATAGATATATATATATATATATATGTGATAAAGATTATGGAATATTCTTTGTTTATAAAATATATAGCCTAAAAACATGTATGTATAAATAAAAAATCTGTTGAACAGTTTGTAGGTTAAATGGGTCGTAAAGGAAAATTTAATAAAGATCTCGGTGGTCGTGGGAGGAAAGCAAAGAAACAGAGTGATCCAATATTTCCAAAAGGAGTTCTAGGTATGAAAGTATATATAGTAATATATTTTTATTAATATTTATATAAAATTATGTATAAAATTAATCTAAATCTTTATCTTTTCACATTGTAGTTAAAGAATCTAATACATTGAGTCACCGGCAAAAACAAAGAGTAAGGAAAAGATTATTAAAAAATCAACAGCTGAAAGATAATGCAAAGAAATTGTTCGAAAAGAAAATTAATGTGGAAGAAAAAGTACAGTCAAAAAATGTATGTTCTTGATTTGTATAATAAATGTCTATTATATTAATTTGTACAGTTTTTATATAAATGATTTTTATTTCATTAATTTTAGAGAGAAGACATATTAAAGCAGCAGAAAAAAAAGAAAAAAAACAAAGTAAAATTTATCAATGACGAAAAAGATGTCAAGATGGAAATCCAATCCAATCTGAGCTCGAAGCTGGAAATAAAAGTGGAACAAAGTTCCACATTTGAAAAGAAAAAAGAAACAAAGGTGAAACAGAAAGATATAATAAAGACTGTAGAAAATAACAGTAATAAGAATTGTCACAATAAAAGTGACAAAATGAAAATATATTCTGATAATCAAGTACTCAAACTAAGCAAGAAAGACAAACAAAATAAAACAAAAAGCATGAAAGTTAAGACCAATTTAAAAAGTGAAAGTGGTAATGATAATAATCAAATCGAAGATGAAAAAATGGAAATATGTTCTAATAAACAAGTAATCAAACTAAAAAAGAAAGCAAAGCAAAGTAAACAGAAAAATATAAAAGTTAAGAACAATGAAAATAGTAAAAGTAATAACGATATGTTATTTAATGTTAATGATGAAATTGAGGAAGATGAAGATGAACAAATGGATGAAGAGAATATGAGCGAAGATGAAGAGGATATGAGTGAGGATGAAGAAGATACAAGTAAGGATGACAATCAATTGTTTTCTACAGCAAAGTTAAAGAAAACCTTCAAAATAAAACAATTTATGAAGGATAATATAGAAAGTGATGTCGAAGAGATGGTTTCCAGCAATGAGGAAGAATCTGCTGAAGATGAACGGATGGAGGAAGATGAAAAAGAAAATGATAAAAGTAGTGATGATGACTTACTTCCAATAGAAAAAGCCAATAGGAAATTGAAAAAGAAAAAAGAGAAAGAACAGTAAGTACATTTTTAACTATCCATAATATTAATTTTTTTTAAATTAATTCTTTCTATTTTATCAAATAGAAAGCTTGCTGGGGAAGAAATGGAAGATATGATGACACATCAAAGAATATTCTCTTTTCCAACTGATGAAGAACTTACAAATGTTACTAGTTTAAAAGATATTCAGCAACGAATACGAGACGTTATCATGGTGTTATCAGATTTTAAGAGATTACGGGAGGAAAATAGGTTACGTTCTGAATATACCAAACTACTTCAAATGGATTTATGTACATATTATAGTTATAACGATTTCCTAATGGAAAAATTGATGCAAATGTTCTCACTGGACGAGTTACTAGAATTTTTGGAAGCGAGTGAAGTACAAAGACCTTTGATCATCCGAGCGAATACTTTGAAAACTAGACGACGCGATCTAGCTGAGGTAGATTTTTATCTGTATCATAAAATTAAATCAAATAATTAAACGGTTTAAATCGAGCTAAATGGATTTAATAATAAGTATTCCTTTTAAATTTTCAATATAAAAAAATTAACAAAAAATGTACATTTCGGGAAGTCCTTCAGCAATTATTACAAATATACGTTTCACAGGTCCTTCATCAATTATTACAGATGTTTGCGTCGTTGGATTGATAATATTCTTATAAGCCTTGAATATTACAATGATTGTAACATCTATGTTCAACTTAATTGGACGAACTTGTAATGATGGTCCTGTCTCACATGCCTTTACAATACACTCGCATTGAGAACAGGAAAATCAATCCGAACTATGATTGGTATATCAGTATGTCTGTAACACTTATAAGAATATTATCAATCCAATGATGCAAACATCTGTAATAATTGATGAAGGACCTGTGAGTTCCGAAACGTACATTTTTTGTTAGTTTTTTTTATATTGTAAATTTAAAAACAATTATTATTATTAAATCAATTTAACTCGATTTAGATTGTTTAAATTAATTTGTATTGCAAAAAACGAGCGAAATTTATTAAATATCATTTTTATATAATGTAATTGTAATTATTAGTAATGTAATCATAATTGCAATGTCGAATCTATTTTCAGGCTCTCATCAATAGGGGTGTTAATCTTGACCCAATAGGAAAATGGACAAAGATTGGTTTGATAGTGTATTCCTCACAAGTGCCTATGGGCGCAACGCCAGAATATCTAGCTGGACATTATATGATACAAGGCGCTTCTAGCTTCTTGCCCGTAATGGCGTTAGACCCGAAAGAAAATGAAAGAATTCTTGACATGTGTGCTGCACCAGGTGGTAAAGCTTCGCACATTGCTGCTATTATGAAAAATACTGGAACTTTATTCGCTAACGACTTGAATAAAGAACGACTTAAAGCTGTTGTTGGCAATTTCCACAGACTTGGTATTGTCAATTGTGTAATCTGTAATTACGACGGGCGAACATTCCCTAAGGTAAAGAAATCTTTCTTTTATTATTTTTCTTTATAGTTCACAGTAAAGTTGCTTTTTCAAGATTTATGAATTTGTGACTGTCTCATTTTCAGATTATAAAAGGCTTTGATAGAGTTTTATTGGATGCTCCATGTACAGGTACAGGAGTAGTTTCAAAAGATCCTAGTATAAAAACGAATAAGGCAGAAGTAGACATTCAACGTTGTTGCACATTACAAAGAGAACTGTTATTAACTGCGATTGATTGTGTTAACTCGCGTTCGGAATCGGGTGGTATAATTGTTTATTCAACTTGCTCGATTCTACCAGAGGAGAACGAGTGGATCATTAATTACGCTCTTAAAAAGCGCGATGTAAAGTTAATACCCACTGGTTTAGAATTTGGAACTGATGGTTTCACGAATTATAGACAACATCGATTTCATCCCTCATTGAAATTAACTAAACGATTTTATCCGCATGTACATAATATGGATGGTTTCTTTGTAGCAAAACTAAAAAAATTCTCCAACAATATTCCTAATTAAAATAGTAGGTACAAGGAAAATAAATGTCTGATTAAAATTTTCTGTACTCAACAATTTTTTTTATCGGATTACGTTGTTAATATATGCAACTATTATTACAGCATTACTTTGTCTTATTTACAAATGCAAACCTTTTCAATTTTTCAATACTAATGAATTATATATATATATATATGGCTTTGGTACATTTCGGGGACATTTTTTGATACAATGGTACATTTTGAGGACTTTTCGCACTTTCGAGGACAGTCTTCAAAATTTTTTTTGTATATGGTATATTTTAAGGACTGTCTTCAAAATTACTCGTTTTATGGTTGGTCACATTTGAGGACATAAGTTGTGTCAAATGAATGTCCTCAAAATAGACCAAATATATTTGAATACTGTTTTGCGTTTGGTACATTTTGAAGACACTAAGAATTCAATATTTATTACATTAAAAATAATTAATAAAAATACATATAATCTGCAAGAAAATCAAAAGTAATTGTATTATGTAACCAGTTTTAATTTGTTATCATATGTCCTCAAAATGTACCAACCGTATATTTTTTTATTTTTATAATTTTCAACGTTCTTACATTATTAAATAATAAGAAAAGAATTATTAAAGGCAATAAAGAGGAATTATCAAAAATTAAATTTATCACATTATATAAACTATGTAAATTTATCACATTGTAATCATTGTAACTATGTTTATAATTTATTCGTATAATTTCACAAAAATACAGGAGATACATATTTTACAACTTTATTTACATTTATTTTATTAATGATACAAAAGTAAATATAGGAAACATAATTCATAAAGATGGACTGCTGAGAAGTAACAGACATCATATTATAATTCCTGTTTGAACCTGATATGTAGTGCATGTCCACAATCAAAGGAAATCTAAAAACATCAAATTATTACGTTGAACTTAATAAAATTAGTGTAATAAAGAATTTGTGTCCTCGTGTGCGCATAGTTTAAAGCTGGAAATATAATAAAAAGCTCAATAAATATTTACAAGTATTTCAACCAATCAGAAATCATGTGCACTATAATGCACGCTTCCTGATGGTTGCAAATATGGTCTTAGGCCGGTATTCATATTCAGAAGTAATGGGCGAGTTCAAGACGACAAAGCGGCTAGGTACGCTTGCCGAGCGATCGAGTATGATTGGTTGGATCTATAAGTAATAACCAATTATATTCAATTGCTCGGCAAGCATACCTAGCCGCTTTGCCGTCTTGAACTCGCCCAATGTCTTTAGACGCGAATGCAGCCCTTTGATTGGTTCGTGACATCTTAAGACTTTACTTAAGACTTTACTTCTTGACTATGAATACCGGCCTTATTTTCTGTTCGTATTGTTTATGCTTTCCATTGCGTTTCCAATTTAAATATCCTCAAAAGGACCCATCCATATAAAACAGTTTATAGAACAAATATAGTATAGTTTCAATTATAATTATAAAGTGACACTGCAGGGAAATCGTATGAAAAGATATAACCATATCAATTTTATAATTCATATCGTTATATAACAACCGACACATAAAGGCCCGTATTCAGAACGCGCTTACAACGATTAGCTCTCTAACATGCTATAGTTTACGTTACACATATTATATAATAGAATTTCAGATATAAAAGCGCGCTTTTACCAATAAAAATGCGTTATGAATACGGACCAAAGTGTGCATGTGACCCTATCAACCTGAAAAGTGAAAAGTTTCACGTGAACTCTATGATCATCTATAATTTCGAGGGATCACATAACTTCTCCAACTGTGAAAATGTGAAATTGTTCACGTGAACTCTATGATTATCTATGATTTCAGGGATCACATAACTTTTCCAACTGCGAAAATGTGAAATTGTTCACGTGAACTTTTTAGCCATGGACCGAGGTGGCGGAAAGGCGGAAATCTAGGGAATTGATAAATATACTTCGGAATTAACATGTCTTATCCTCCGACATCTCTTATCTTAAGTATGGTGTAAGAAGAAAGGTGAAACACTGCGCAAAGTAATGGCGGCAAGATGAGCGGAACTAATGAAATTTAGGTCCATATACACCCCGCGCAATTTGAACACGAAATAATACAAAAACTGTACAATAATACAAACAACAACAAATAAATAAACAACTATAAAAAAACAAACAAACAACGTACTATACAAACTATACTTGGAATAATACAAACGTGCAAAAATATGACTACAACAACCATATAAATATATATAT